TAAGTACTTTATTTTCAGATACTTTCATCTTGGCTATTGAGAAAAACCATTTAAATAGCAAAAATATTATCTACGGCTGACATTGGTTAAGTTAAAGTTTGGTTCATAGAAGATGCTAAAAGAAAAATTATATTTTAACATTGATAAAAATGATCTAGTGATTTCGCGGGATATCTTTGATTTTAAAAATACCCCTTTTACTTTATAGATAAATGCTATTTTAAAACAATAGGAAAGCTAACGCAGTTAACAGGTAACCTAACTTAATTTTTTACCAACTGTTTGAAAGAAATGAAAATTCTTGAAGATCAAGAAATTCCTCTAGTTGTCCACTTTTTGCTGTCCGGGCGTGCGAAAAAAAGGCACAAGAAAGTCGCCAAACGAAAAGAGAAAAAGGAAACAACTTTTGCTATAAAGCGTGTCCTGTGGCAAATTCCTTAGCGCCCAACATACACATACAACCGAAGCACGGGCATAATTGCAGCATTCTCTTTTCTTCAGCTGCCAATTTTTTGGTCCTTTTACGCGTTCCGCTTTCAACGAATTAAATGGCATGAAATTAAAAGTTACTACGAGAAATTTTTGTGCTGCATTTGCAGGAAAACGTGAGAAATTATAAGTACAAAAGCGTGGAAATAAAAAGGAGGAAGCGCGAAAGCATGCGAACCGAAATGAAAAAGAGCTGAAGGTATACTATACTATACTTTACTATATAGAGATACTCCGGGAAGGAGCAAGGAAAGGAATGATAAAATATGAAAGTAAGTCTGGCCATGGAAATGGAAAATGGAAAATGGGAAACAGTTGAAAGACAACAGGCAAATCTACTTAAATATCCCAGCGAATAGTAAGCCTTTCTTTGCTGTTTCATTCTTTGTGAATTATTCGTTTGCCCCTTTGCGGGGATCCCCCGTACGGTTGGGATTCTCTTTGTGCCACGGTTAAGTCCGTTTTGTGTTTTGTTCCTTCGTTTTCCGTCCTTACCCCCGAAAGGAACATTATGCAAGTTATTTTCGCAACCTTGTGGAAAAATATGAAATCAGCGAAATATATTTATGACTTATTTTGTCCACAGGACAAAGGATTCGCCGACGGGAGAATCACAGAAGCCACGAAAAGGCCAGAACAAAGATAATGAATGTTGGTGTAGCAAAGCCAAGTATTACTTGGGAGTGAAAGAAAATGTTAACTGGCTTTATTAGTCTTAATAGTATAGGTTAAATTAGCTAAGATTTACAAAATCAATATAAAAGTATTAACCCGTTTACAGATTCGGAATATAATCGCTTATCCATAGATTATCCATACTTTTTCTAGAAGTTCAAGATTATCTTTCAATATCAACTTACAAAGGAAGGAGTACTTGAATTATATTCAATAAAATAATAATTGCCATTGTAGTTTCAAATATATATATTTTGGTTTGGATTTTATCAACTTTTTACCAAATGTTATTTTAAGGGTAATATCATATACCCATATTGTGTTAAGGGAATCCAGATGTTTCATTGCCTTTTTCCATTGTTTATTTGGTCTCTTCATGAGAAGGGTGCCTGTATACAATTTTTTCAATCATTTACTGATAGGCACTTTTTTTGCCCCTTTCACTTTACTGTTACTGCGGTGGTTTTTTGCTGCTTCAGAAGCTGCCATATAGTTTAAAGTGTTGTAAATATTTGCGTTACAACAATGTTTGCACTTGGTTTGAAATTCACAACCATTTTTTATCAAGTTTTTGCCCCACTTTTTCCGTCTCCCTCTCAGATGGAATGATTTAGGTATTTTTTGTAGGTTTATTTATTATTTTATAGCTGGATTGTGACGTGGATTTAGTGGGCGATATTTTGTTTGGGCCGTTAAACAAATATTTGACGAGAAGCGCGGCCGTATCGTACAAAAGTAATTGCTTCCAATAGGTCATGGAATATTTAGGAATCGAAATGTCAAACTTAAAGTTGGTTAGCTCGCCGTTTAATTTCATTGGCTGCTCAGTACAGCAGAAGGAGAGTCCTTGGAACGGCCTAATTGAATTTTCACTAATCCAATAGATTAAGGGAGCAGCAGCAGCAAGAGTTGCTCCACAGTTGCTTGTAATGCAATGCAGAAACAATAACAAAATTATGCCGGCTAACAGAAGGAGCGGCTGACAAGGACCAGAACATCCTTGGAGACTTGCAGGATGACCTCAAAAGTGCAAGGCAAGTTGGCAAAACAGCCGGCACTTTGTCCCCAAGTAGTGGCTTAGTTTTCTCCCTCGCCTAGTTCTTCCTTTGTTTGCTGTATTTTTTCATTACAAGAATTTAATTAGCTACAAAGGAGAGTCGTTTTGCCATAGTGAGTTTAAATCATGCATAAATTTTCAAATTTTCCACATTCCCATTTACATCCGCATTTGCTTAGTGGCACTTCAGGCGCCATAACTAATTATATGTTGACATGACATTTATTTGACTTGCATAAATTAGTCAATTAGTTGATGAACGTTAATTAAGTTTTCGGAAAGCCGCTAAATAAGATGTCAAGTGGTGGGATGAGAGGTTCATTGAAATCAGAAAGACATTTCTCAGAACTTTACCTAATCTGAATTAAACTGAACAACTAATATTGAAAAATAATATGTATTTTTTCATGACGTTATGGCTAAGGTTTAAAATAAAAATTTGATTGACTTCAACAAACAGAGAATTCGGGCACGGTGGGAGGGTTCCTTAAACTTGTAATTGATATTATTTCAACAGGAATCGATTTCATCTCTTTTCACTTTATTCACAGCCGAGTTAAGACTCCCACTTGACCATTTGGCAGTTGCTCCTTTCTGGCCATAATGCTGTCAGCAGCTGGACGAATCCTTGAAGCGTAAGGAAAGTGAGAAGGAGGTCCTGGGGAGAACTTGAAGGTTGCAGATAGTGTGCTCGTCGTACATTTTATCGCCTGCACTCAACGAAAAGGTGAATGACGATGGACGTACCAAATTTTCGACACATTGTGGCTTCCATCTCTGTGAGAGTGTGAGTGGGAGTGTGTCTGTGTCGAGGGCGAGTTGCACATGGCGTATACGCAATAAAAGAGCGACACTCAAAGCCGTGGTTGTGTGGGGGACTTCGCCCGCCCCGACGCTTGTCATCATTAGATTAGAGTGCAGCAAGCCCAGCGGAAGGGAGATGGAGGTGGATGAAAGACAGAAAGGGAGTTAACACTGAAAGAAATGCAGCAACCAGAAACCTCAAAAAACACTCAACTCAATAACAATGTTTGTTAAACCTTATAAATTTTAATTACAGGATAAAACTAGTTCTTGTTCTTTAATCACACACATATTCTACATTTATGATTCGTTTTAAAGTCCTTAATCTTAAGTAATTTCTTTCAGTGTGCGAAATTCATGCACACATCGAGGCGAAGAGACAAAAATTAAACTATGGGGCGTTGCCTTGTTAGGATGTGCGTTAAATTGTAAAACACGAGAGGGGTTGTGGTGGGAAGTTTTGCAGAGGGAGGGAGGGAGTATTTGGAGGCTGGGGTCCTGCAAAAGGACTGCGCCCAGCTGGCCAGTGTTATCCTGCCTGTCATGCTGTGGCCAGTTCTCGTTTATTTTGCGTATTAGACGCTGCTATTTTGTGCTTATTGTTGCCATGCCCCTCTCCGTCTGGCGGTCATGCCCTGCCGTGTCCTGTTATTTTTCGCTTGTTTGGTTTCTTCGGTGTGCCATTGTCAGCTCATTTGTAATTTTTGGCACAACGATTTCAAATTAAGCAACCGGAAATGAGCTGACATTTTGTATTCTGTTTCCCATTTCGTTTCATTTCGTCGGCATTCGGTAGTGCGCATCTTAACGGCACTTTTGCGGTTATTCGTCAGGATCAGGATCAGGGATCCATACGGGCAATCATCGTCGTATCCTCGTGGACGTCGTCGTTATCCCTTCCGGACACCACCCCCACCTTGTCTTGTCTATTATGACAATATTAATATTTACATTTTACAGTTATTGTCTAGCCGGAGCATTTCCCACACAGTATATCCAGCACTATATATATATAGATATATATATTCATGTTCACATGTATCCTTTCTGTTTTGTGTGCTGCCACTGCTGCTTGTCATGTTTGCTGCCTCGTATGCATTTGGTATTTTCTTGTTTATTGCTTTATGTTTCAACCGATGCTGCTCCATTTTCCCCCCGTCTACAGTTTTCTCCATGGAAACTGTATCTTGTCAATATGGTTTCCATTCTGCATAGTGTGCATTAGTTCCGTTTGTTGTTGACCACTTTAGTCGCTGTCTCCTAAGCTCACGCTGAAGTTTATCCTTTTCCTGCATGCCGTATCAAGTAGGTTTAAAGTAAGTATACTTTATACTTTTATTTTCTTTAACAAGAAAGTCTAGAAAGGCAGGGCTTATTTAATGGATATTTACTGATCTAATCTCTTCTCTTTAAAATAGCCCTCTTATTAAAGTTGGGTATAAATTTAAAGTAGATCTGACAACTTGAAGCTTATGTAGTAAGGTTTCTAAAGATTAAAATTATAATAATCTAAAACCATAAAATCAGTGCGTAGAAATGTCCCGTTGTCTAAGCGTTACATTGCTCAACTGTGTCCTTACATATCCTTTTAAATTCTCTGTTAAGAATAAATATCCCTTTTTGGTCCTGTTAACTAAAAACAACCCACGCTGTGAACTTGAAAGCTTTTACGTGACTTCGAAATTCAAATAAACACTCTCTTTCCTGATGTTGGCTGTTTATTTTTCGCCACTCTCTAAAATTTCTCTGGCCCAAAACAAGGACTTCGGCTCGGGTTTCGTCAAGTGCCGAGGGCCGCAGCTCTTTATCCTTTCTCTCGCTGACAGGACACGATTACATCCGAATTCCTTCGATTCCAGCTTCTATTTAACAGCATCGGCATCGGGTCCTTCAGCAGCAGCTGCTGTTGTTGGGATTCCGGCAAGGGCCGACAGCTTCCTGCCGCTGATGCTTCAGTTACGTTGATAATGTCAAATCGTTTGGTTCGCTCTGCTGTTGCCACCGCCCACGAGTACAACCACAACAACACCGCCAAAGACGAGGGCCAACGAGCCAATAAATTTAAATAATATCCCATCACAACAAAGAATAAACAACATCTCACCGAGACAATATAAAAACTAAAATTGCAAAAGCAATAGCAACTCAGTGGGACAAACAACTGCCGGCTAAAAAAGTGTCAGAATTTGTGAAAATTAATATTTCACCAGAGATTTGAGTGCTGCCGAAACAAAAAATAGAACAAACCAAAAACACTGCTAACAGGACAAACTTTTCGTTCTGGCAAACTTTTATTTCGTACACACTTTTTTTGGCCCAACGCGATTTGCTCGCGAAAATTATGAAAAATATGTGAGAAATGTGCAAAATCCTCAAAATACTCGAGTAAAGGCAAAGAGCATAGGTCAAGCCCTTATTCTCCAGTGCGAGATATATTTTGGTCGGTCCCGAAATCGTGAATCCCCTGACGTTGCTCTTTCAGTAAGCCCAGAAAAACCACCCACCGCCCATTTAGTGCCATGTGTATGTGAGGAAGAAAAAGCAGTCAAGTTGAGAATGTGTTGTTTCTGTGTGAGAAGCCGTGTAACGTGCTAAAATAAGTTAATTTATTGCCGGCACAAAAACAACAACAACAATCACAACACACAAAGACAACAACTGCCGGCAGTCATAACATTTGCCTTGCTCACCAGTTACCCAAAGGTGAGTTACTTTCAGTTGAGGGTTCCGACTGGGTGATGATGATATCTGTATCTGTGATTTTAGCTCGAAATTTTACTGGTACTCTTAAAATATAATTTATGGTCGTAGAAACTGTTTGCCTCGGGAATATTTGCAAAAACAAACATTAAATACTTCTCTTATCTATCGATACTAAGATTAAACTTATTCTGTGCTTTGAATGCGTATAATACCAAAAAGTATAAAGAAGTACTAACGTTGTCTTTAGTAAAATGAAAGTGTTTCAAGCTAATTTGACACTTATAAATGATTTTTTCATGCTGTATTTAACAGAATAATTAGATTTTCTTGAGCGGTAATGACTTCTCATTTGAGCAAACTATGTAGTTGAGGCTATTTAAGTGTTAAAATGGGACAGCTTGTAAAGTAAGTAAGACTTTACAAATTAGTGCACGTCTTTAAATGTGTTTCAAACTTTTTATAGGGCTTTGGCCATTAAAATTATAGTGTTATATCAGTTTCAATCATCCCTGCAAGTCGATTTTCCTTTCATAAGACAAAAGGGATGTGCACCCATTAAGAGTTATGTTGAACCAGTAAGTAAAATTTTCCACAGTTATTCAAAAATAAAATTGAAATTTATACAACGTATATCCCAATTTAGAAGGCAAGTTGTGGGTAATAACAAGATGGATGAAAAATCAAAATACAAAGCCCTTTAAGTGTTTTCTAGACCCATATTTATTAGATACACCTTTGGCGACTCAACAAAGTGTTTTTCTGGCTACCGACTACAAAAGTTTTGCCGTGTACTTAACTTGTTTAGGAGAAGATTCGTACGAAGATGTGGAAGGAAGTGCCTCTTGTGAGTTTTGAAAGGAATGTGCAAATATCAGTTAATATCTTCCGTATTTAAAACAGATTTGGTGTTAACATATTCAAACAAGAAGAGACCATCCGATAAAGTTATGAAACAAATTCTGCAGGCGCATAAACGGAATGGCTTAGATACTAGGTTTATAAAATATTGTGTGTGATTCCTAAGACAAAGAATACCGTTTCAAACGCCATACTAAATGACTACGATTTATCAGCTAGTGAACGAATTTAAACTGATTTTTAATTAAAAAACAAATGCTAGAAGTGCCTTAATTTGTTCGGAGCTATTTCAATTTCCAAACCAAAATATTTTGCTGGCTCTTTCCCACGAAGCGTTGTCAAAAAGTTGATTCAATTGACCTGTCCTCGCAATTCAAGCGTGGCTAAAAAATACAACCGAATAGATGAACAAAAACTGTCAGATCCATGACCTACATAAGTACGTCGTGTAACCAAATAGATTGGAAGGTTTTCACACGCATATATTGTTTTTCCCTGCCATTTTTTTACCACCGCCCCCGAATTCGCTTCGTATGCAAAACCAAAACAAGCAGCTTTCAGATTTTACCCATTTTTCCATTGTTTTGCTAGCCTCTCGAATGGAAACTTTTCCCCGTACATTTCTTTCTTTTTTGAGCGCTAGCTAACAAAAGTTCGAATGTTAAATGATTTTCATGCACAAACTTTTGGCAACCCTGAAACTGGACCTCGGTCATTTGTTAGCCTGTCAAAAGGGCTAAAAAAATAACAAAGAAAAAGCACGAATAACTCTGGCTGACACATGGATTTATTGCATTCAAAAATATGAAAAGTTTCATCAAAAGTGCAACAACAGGGTACTACAGGGTACTAGTAAAGCGGGCCGAAACAGCCCCACTCCCAGCAATGCTTGCATTTGTTCGGCACATAGTAAAAGGGTGGGGCACAGCCGCTGTTGCAACATCCGCAGTTGCAGGTGCACTTCATGCATGGCAGTAACGGACCCACGGGGCCACATGTTAGGCGGTATGAGACAACGGCACAAGGCGGCGGACCACAACATCCGCCGCAGGGTCCGCAGCAGCATCCACCTGATCCGCAGGAACCACCTCCCCGGCAGGGTCCACCGCCGCAGCAGGATCCGCAGCAGCCACCGCCGCCGCAGGGCTTACAAGCGGACCCACAAGGTCCACACGGCGGTGGTCGACATCGTGGCGCTGCACAACTCATCTCTGAGATCGCTTAGTCCTTTGAAACCGATTGCTAAATATGTGCCGCTAAAAAAAGTGCTAAATACTCCAGGCTAATGACGATAGACTTCTCACAGCTCCAGGCTCCTATTTAGCACCTTTTTCGTCCGCAAATAGTAGCAAATTCACTTGGAAATTTCACAGTTTCCGTTAAGCAAAAATCTGACGTTCCTTTAGGTGTTTCTTAAAAAATGATTAGTAATGCAAAGACACTTTTTGATATTTATTTTAAAAGCAATTTTATCAACTTTAAAATATATTTGCTTTCTGGTCACATTTAAATCTACATATGTCAGCTAAGAATAACCAACTCGAACCACCACATTCCGCTGTATGTTCCTCCTCCGAGTGCTATTTGCACAGTTGACCATGCATGCGTTTGTCTATTAGTCCCTCTCATCCAGATACGCCCACTTTCCAAGTCCTCTGGTCTGTCGAGGGCTAATGTAATTGATTGTCTCCGCTTGGGTGAATAGGAGGTGGAACGTAGCATCGTGAGCAGAAGTGGCAAAAAAGTTTTATCACGGTTCGTTATCCGCAGAACGCCGAACTGTGCAGTTAAAAATGTTTAAAAAAGTACAGATTTATGGAATTTGATCAGTATTATCCGGTAATCTAGGGTTACAATTAGAATAATTTCAGAAAAGGATAACCAACCTTAACTCCATGCCCAAACTATGCCCAAAGATTCATGAGTAATAAAAAAAAAATGGATTTTTAGTTAAATTTTTCGTTTTGTGCCCCATGGTGCCACCCTTTTTCGTATCGCGATTTAGCCAGCTTCCATTTCAGGCCAGATTTCGAAGCGTAGGCTGCCCTAGAAAGGCGGCGTCGATGAGATTGTCAACAGCTGTCAGAGCGAAAAATCGCCTTTGGCCCCTGAAAAGCCAGTCCACTTCAGTTCCTTTTCCACTTCGGCACCAAGCACTCGATTTTGTGTCTGCTCCAGGGCCAATAACTAACCCAGAAAAAAAAAATAGAGTAACAATTTAGAAAGCCAACGCCAAGTCAAGATGTGTGGTGGCTGGGCCTGTGCTTCCTATAACCTCGCTTGCTGCAATCCTCGGCTGTCGACACTGCGATTCACTGGACGCTGCTTCGCGCCCACTGCCTGCGGTCCCTGTGATGACTGCTCGGCCTGCGGCGGTTGCTGCGGCGGCTGCTGTGGATGCTAGGTGAACTCTGATCTGGAGTAGCCGCTGAATCGATTGGGTAAATCAAACACAAAGTTTCCACTTTCTAAAAGTAGGCCTTGAAATATATCAACTGACAGCCAAGAACACCAACACCATTCAGTTCATGTCCTGTCGTTGTCGGAACAACATCTAACACCTTACACTTCCAGCGGGGTAAGTTTCTACTTTTTTGTTTTGCAACATTATTTTCATTATTATTTTAATTATTATTTTATTCTTTGATAGTTCCTTATTTAATATCGTGAACCATGTGCGGTGGCTGGGCTTGTGCCTCCTACGATCTGGCATGCAACAATCCACCTCTATCCACGGTCCGTTTTACCGGACGAGACTTTATACCCACACCCTGTGGTCCTTGTGATAAGTGTTATGTCCATGATACTAGTCGCAAGAAGAACTCCAACAACTGTTACGTGCCGCACATCTTATCCCCGCTGGACGCACAACTCTGTACGATGAGTGAAAAGGAAAAGGAGGAGAAAGAAAAATCAGGATGTCTTAACGCTGGGAAAAGATTTCGGAATTGACTAAAGCTAACATCTGTACACACACGAAATTGAAATAATGGGCTAATTAAAATAGGAACTGCTTTAAAATTTTTTTATTATTAAATATGAATATTTCAGCATAAAAATAATTCCCATGCGGGGAATATTTACTATCTAGCAGCAAATCGTGAAACTTAAAAACTTTACCAGTATTTTTAAAAACATGAATTTATTGATTTGCATGAACCATTGTACAGAAAGTAACAATGTTCAAACCAAAAGCACAAAAAAATTCCACGTCATTCTGCATTCGAAGTGCTCCATGACCGATTCCCTCTGATCCTCAATAGAAGGGTCCGAAGCATCCCCACTCGCCGGCGCAGCAACACCTGTTGGGTGGACATGTCCAGGGACCACAGGGCGGATTGGGGCCGCAACAGCAGTTGTTATAGTTCATGGCCGGCAGGGCGGGACCGACGGGGCCATAGGCCAGGGCATAAGATACCGATCCACAGGCTCCTTGACAGCACATCTTTAAATAGTTGACTAGGCAAAGAAGTGAGATGGAAATAATCTCATTGAATTGAGCAAAACTTACAGTTTGTTTCAAGCAAGAAAATCGCTTAATAAAAGGTTTTCAATTTTTTTGAACCAGGAATTTTTTCGTACTTTTGGTTTACGTACTGATGAAAGCGTACGAGTTGTTTACAAAACAAGCGACAAGACTGATATGAGCTGACTTTGGAAAACGGAGCTCAGGCCCGGGAATTCCTTCTCAGAGCCCACTGGGTGGTGGAAAATTTAAAACCAGCCAAAAAGGCAGAAACCAAATCAAAGTGGGCTAGAAAAACTGCCTTAAAATCGATCAAAGTCAAGTTGTTGATGCTGCTCTCCTCCTGGCGGAGCTCACAAATTTCACACATCAATGATTTAACATCGGAGCGACAAATAAAAAAAATTGAATTTCTCTAACGACAAAACAGCAGCGCAACAGATTCGCCCCTCTGGCAAAAATAAGAAATCATTGAAACATGTCTAAAAAAAAATAGAGAAAAAGAGGACTCTGGGGAGACTAGCACCAGCAAAATATAAGAGATGGGTGAACGGTGATGCCGAAAGGATTTTTCACAGGACTCGCTCTAAACTGGGGCAACAGCAATGTCGAGGCAGACATGAAAGTCTATTAGACTCAACGAAGCAACCTTAACGTCATTTTCCAGCTTCCTTCGGTTTTCGGGGGGTTAATGTAAGGGCATGTGTGTGCGGGACAGGATATAGGATATAGGACCTCGTGTGCGTCTGCGGGCGTTGTGATTCACAAAAGCTGACAAGCTCATCGATCCCTGAACATTAGCTAAACATAAATTACACAGATGACTGCACAACAATTGAGGCGTTTATTATAATGTGTGTTCACACTTGAGGCTTTCAAAAGATGCACTCACAGCACACACATGGAGACCTGGACGGAAGATTTAACTTTACCAACGTTAACTTCACTTGATTAAATGGAGTCTTAAATTGTTTATGAAATGGTTTGAATATTCGGATATTAAAGGAGATTCTTTAGGTTGTTTACCGCATTCTAAAAGGATACTGGCTTCTAAGAGATAAATAAGCTTTATTCTATAAATATTTAAAAGGGCTTTTAACTAAGGCTTAATAACCCAGATAACTAGGGATTCTGTTTGTAAAACCACATATAATTCCAAACTTTCTTCACATCCTTTCTTTCAAATGACACTTTCAAAAAGTCCTAACTATTTATATTGACAATGAATCTTGTTCTGTTTGGTTTTCTATTTGGGCACATAATTTATTCATTCAAGTTCTTTAAAAAGCAATTTACATCGATTTACCTAACAACCGCTGTCGTAGAAAAAGAAAAGCCACAGACCCCCCAGACAGTTAAAAACTATTGCGAAACTCATTTCTATACGGGCAAAAAAGGAAAACCAGCTTCAAGACTGCAATTGAGGGTTCTCCACCTTCCTCCGAACCGAAAAACAACACCCCACTTAAGATAATCTCATTGGTAGAATGCCAAAAACTTATCCCCTCTCGCACACACACACACAAACGCAGACAGCGCATAAAAATGTCACCACAGGAAAAAAGGAAAAGCAGCAAGGAAAAAGAAAAACAGCAGGGTAAACAAGAGAGGCTTCAACTAAAAAAGGTATTTCCTTTTAAATCAAATACAAAAATTTCTGCTGGGATTCCAAAGCCACTGCCCCGTGGCCGTGCCGTCTTTTATTTTTTGTCCAAGTGGACACGATGGGCACTTCATTTCACTCCAAAAACATATTGAGCCGGGCCACTTGAGTGTGCGCCAAGAGATAAGCGCAATTATATGGCTTCCACTCCCTGAATCCGGACATAAATGGGAGACCGCAGAGACCTCGGGACATTGGACAGCCGCCCAGCGTAAACTGTATAAATTAGGTAAAAAGAGAACTTAACGTTACTTATGTGACATGGCCTTCATTGAGACAAATGTGGGGTCTTTAAGTGCATCTTTTTTGCCTTTCGAGCGCTTTAAATTTATTTGCCACGGATACACCACGGCTATAGAGAGATACTCACGTCCTGGAAAAAAGGTATACAAAAGATGTTGTGAAATTTCTCTGAACTCTGGCATCTCACATTTTGTCCCTGGTCAAGTGCTCGTTATGGGCAATTTCTGCTCAAACTGCCTTCTGGGTGCTTTTGTTTTACTTTCTTGTTTTTTGCTGACCGCATGCTGAGTATGGCTATGGCTCTTCTATTTTGTGTGGGCCTCTAAAGTCAAGTGCCTTTGTGGCCGATCTCAAAAGAGGCAACTTTTCAAGCATCGGTTTTTGGGGAAACGCTCATAAGTGACCATTGAAAAGTTTACACTACGAAGTTGTCAATATGTAAGAAATATCCTTGAGTGCTGCTTATTACAAGTTGCCAGAAGTTTCCTTTTTTATTTCTAAAAATTCATGCTGTTTTGGGGCTACAGAAAATTATATTATTGGATTTTTAAGGCATTTGCTTTGTCTAAGTAGGTATTTGCAAAACGTAGTATATAAATGTTACCTTTTTAATATTTAAACCCATTTATAAGCAGCGGTACGCTCTCCCAATTTGGCAAAGTCAAAAATCAAAGAATCGCAGAAAAATCAGACCAGTTAAGTAAAGAAAAAGCCAGTTTTCTATCTTGTTGGAAATGATGCTCTGTGAAAATTCTACACATCACAGATTACTCCGTTCGCATTAGTTAACTTTATGACAATTGGTGATACTCTAATCTACTATTTAGGCTCTTTACAAGTTTTGATATTTTAAAAACAGTAGTTCAAAATCAATTGCTTTAAAGTACTTTAAAGATTAGCTATGAAGATCCACATTTATTTCCTTTTAATTTCAAAATAGATTTTATTATAAACAAAATATGAACATAGAGCATTGGAGAGTTTAAGTGGTCGATTAAATGCTCGACGTTTTTTAGCTGTTCGCTTTCTATTTGAAGTACAAAATATTTTTCGTTTATTTACCCAACGTCGCCCGTTCCCCCGCTGCCTGTCGTCTCCTTGGCACCGTTGTCGTCTGCAGGATACTCCTGCCTCCACTCCTTCGATCTACTGCCTTTTGGTGATTTCTACTTGGTCTGGGTTCCCAGCTTTTTTGTGTGCTATGTGCTGTATGCTATTTCTTTTCTAAGCGCTTTCGCCATGCGGCGTCAAACGTCGGGCGCCAATCCTCATGTGCGTGGGTGCGTATGAGTGATTCTTTTCCTTTTCGCCCAATCCCCCACGACTGGTTCATTCGGTTTTTCTTCGCTTTTCGGTTGGTAAATGCTGCGAAACATAAAACATCAAATGTAAATTGAAAGTCGTTCGTGTGTGAAACTGAATGTGTCATCAGTTGAAGCGTTTATCATTTTTTTTACAGCTTTCGTATTCGTTTTTAGCTTCATCGACCCCTCGGCCGCGGTTGGAGAAAAGATGAGGGTTTTTCTTTAAGAAGTTTAGATTTTATTTGCCGGCGTGTCAAGTTGCTTTAAAACGCTTTCCTGGCTAAGTTGTTTGCCAGCCAAGGAATGTGCGGAAAATCCCAAGGGAGTGCGGGGGCATTGACTGCGCACTGTCTTGTAAAATCTTTTATTTCCGTCCCGAAGTCACGGCATATGTGGCGGGAGAGGCATCAAATTTCCCATATCTCAGATGTAAATATGAATATGAATTAGAAAATATGAATGAAAGATAAAGTTGTGAATTGATTCGAGAAGGAAAGTTTTTGAGCTAATATTTTAAGTAAACTTTGATCTCTAAACTCAGTGCTTTCAATTCTATTATTTCATTCCATTCCTTTTCCATTGTCTTTAAAATGTTCTCTACTAATCATTTGGTTTAACAACCCGGCATCATACGTTTTTAATAGCCCAGCATTTGAGATTTAATAGCCTTCATTAAGTCTCAGAAGAGAAAACTAATTTGGCAAAATGGGGTCCATTTTCCAGAGTTAAAATGCGTTGAAACAATGAAGGCTCTTAGAACGGAGGGCAATTATTGGTATTTATTATTTGTTGACTTATTTTCCCTGATTATTTGCAAATTATTTGGGAATTAAATGAATGGCTCGGATACAATTTATTTGTAACTCGAACTTTGCCCTCCTTCCCTGTCATTTTTCGTATTTGCCATGCAAATGTCAAGCTCAAATAAAACAATAGATGGTAAAATGCTGGTGCAACAACGACAGCTGCCAACTAGAGCTGTGGTTGCCCTTAGTCAAGTTGTCGCCTTTTCCCTTTTTGCTTCCACCCTGGCTGGTGGCACTAACTTCATGTCAATCCTTTTGTGGCTTTGCCGGTCGTTTAATTTGAATTTAAAATGTTATCCCGCCAAATGCAATAGACACAGCTACCCCAAGCCCTCTGCCTCTGCCAAACCCGGCACTCATTTTCCACTTATTTACAATTACCACATTTTATTATATCCCCTTGCCCGCCCTCCAACGAACCAAACAGCCAGTCATCTAGCACTTAACCATTTTATTTATACCCCTGTTTATATTTGTCACACTTCTGTCTTTGTTCCCAGCCACCCACTTTGTACCTCCCCATGGACCGGTTTTAACTGCATTTTTGTGTGTCTGTCAAATCCTGCTGCCTTCTACATCCCAACCCTCGAAAACCCCCTCGCCAGACCTTGCAGATTTCGATTGTATTTTTGTTTATTTTGTTGCAATTTTAATTACTTTAATGAAAGTTTTAATTGCGAAATAGCAAAAACGCACCGAGCAACAGAGACAGCAAGTGCAAGGGGAGCACACAAAGGGAGGGAGTTGGGCCAAAAAGGGGATCGTAATGAGTTTTTGCGGTCTAAGAAAGGTTGGCAGCTGCACGGGAACGATGACGTGAGCACACCCGACCAGGTAAATTTCTATGCCACCTGAATTCTGGGAGAAAAGGCTGCAAGGGCTGGGAAAACAATGAATGGTGCGCTTGATTGGCGTATTGGTATTAAAAATCCAAGCTTTTCAATGGTTTAACCTTTGAACTCAATCATTTAGGATAGACCATATATAAATACTCATTACCTCATTAATAAATGTGAACAGTTCTTTTAAATTTTCGCATGGCAAACAAAATGTATTATATTATTATTTCTTATTTTATTTCCCTTGCTTAAATCAAAGTAAACAACTTTGGTGATCAGGAGTCAACATTTTTCGCTTGGCACATATTGCCACAACGGTAATCTGATGGAAACACTTTGATCTGCTCGTAATTGCAGTTGGTGGTTTCATCCATTCAAACACCGAGTGGGTGTCATTTGCATATTTGTATGAATGCACACATACATATGCATATGAGTATGTATGCTCCACTTGACCCACAAAACTAGGCTAGCAAATCGGCACAAAAATGTTTGTCATACTGTGGGTCTCGTTTGCAACTTCACTTCCGAGCCCAAGCCGAAGTTGAAATAAATTGTGCAAACAATTCGATACCACAAGGTATCGAGGCAAATGAAATAAGTGAGCCGTAACCAAGAGGGAATAAGGATCAAAAAATAAACCAAAATGAAAATAGAATGGAAATCAGCAGGGCCAATGAACTGCATGAGATGCAAAAACTGAGAAAATAGAATAGGAAGGGAATAGAATAGACTTTTTTTCTTTACAATACATTACACATTGCATAATGGAATCGGAAGGTTACAATGAAAATAATAGAGGTTTATATCGTGTTCGTTCTGTATGTTTGATAGCTTTCCAGAAGAGTTCACTCAGGTAAGAAATAGCTAAAGGAATGTGGGTTGGTTAGTTGTAGCAATTATATTTTTAAATAGTGTTTAACAACTTATACCTAAAGATAATATTGAGTAATTCGCATTGCGTAATTCATATTCGTATTTCCATAAAGGCTTTTAAATTCCAACCAATTGCTCTTTTAAAACCAAATTGTTACTTTAGCCATTTTCACGTTTGGTTTTTTAGTTTTCTCTTTCTTCTACCGTAGCGTCGTTAAAAGCATTCGCTGTCGGCTGGAACCCATAAAATGCATTAATGCTTTGCATGCTGTGCCCAAACTGTAAAGTCCAAGCTTAAAAATATACATACACAATTATGTTCGTATGCTTTTATGTGCTTCCAGCAGGGAGCAAAGAAAAAGATACGCAAAATTGCATTTTTGGCAACAAGCTTTTAATTGCATTTTGTATGTGCTCATTACCTTAAATGCACTGTGAGGGCATTTTTCCTTTGCAGTGTCTTTACCCTGTTTTTTCCAAAAGTTTTGGCATTGGTAGAAGTTTGAATGCCAAAGATGGCTAACTTATTTGTAATATTAAGACTTTAAAATTAGATGAAAGAGCAAGGAACCTTAACATAGTAATGATTCCACCAGAAAATTCTAGTCTATAGTTACATATTATTTTTCCAGTCGTCAACCTTAGTAAAAAGCATTTAATAATGTTAGAGTCAAGTCATTATTTCTTGTTATGAAGACGCAACTCCTAAATACCAATATTTAGAAATAAAAGGGTATTAAAGAATTTTAGGTTTATTGTAAGGGAAACCATGGGCGTGAATGTAGTTCTGTCACTTTGTTTCAAATGCGTGTAAAACTGGCAAGAACGAAGAGAAAATAGCCAAAAGCCTCGACCGAAAAAAACAAAGAGAGAAAAAGAAGTTTTTACGACATAAACAAGGAAATGGAATGGGGCTCATGTGGGTGAATGGTAATGCCAGTGGATATGCGAGTGTGTGAATTTTATTTAAATGAAAAATAATTAAACTGCGGATTGAAGCTTCGCTTTGGTTACTCGTTTTTTTGGGCAAAGTGGAAAGACAATTAGGAAATGCTCGTTTAAACAGCGGAAGAGGGTATCAGGATTGTAAAAGAAAGGAGGGGAAAGTAAATAAAAGGTTTATAGAATATAAAGAAAATTGTTGTTATCGATAAGACGAAGTTTTTATACCCTGTATATACACAACACTTTCTTGTTTGCAAATATACAGTAGTTTTTATCGAAGAAGATTTTTCCAATGATATCGTATATATTTTTATGAAATGCTTTAAGCTAGTTAACGAATTTTCCATTTGGCCTTTATTTCTCGCACTTCCTTTCCGATATTCCTTATATTTTTTCTGTGGATTAAGTTTTTGCCCCGGCTCTTAATGCTATTATTTTTTCATTTGCTCAGTGCAACACACCCACGGATTAGTGTTCAAATGAAATCGATTTCAGAGTGTGTGTGTTTGTTCTGCATCTGTGTTTGGGGCGATTTTTAATTAAAGTACTGCAGTTAATTGCATTAATCACTGTATTTGCCAAGAGCGTTGGGGCATGCACATGGTGCTGAAAGCCATCAAATGGGTCTGCCCTGAATCGCAACACTTAATGAATTATTTAACTGAATTTTGCTGAATTATTTAATGAGCAATGAAGCTTAGCAAGCTTTTTGTTTTGGATTTTAAATTGCTGTAATTAAATATTAATATGTGACTTTGCAGTTTAATATTCATATCGGAAACTTCAGTAATACGAAATGTAGAAATTATTAATGAGAATGGTTTAAAAAGGTTCCGAAGTTTATGTTTTTTTTTACCCCTTTTAGCCATTTCTATTTGACATTTTCATTTTCTGCAATACCACATTTTTCATTCATATCTTACTGCCAATAAATCCATTCTAACTGGAACTTAAATTTTCTTACAATTACAGCTTCGGAGTAAACTATCTGCAGGACTCAGAAATAGGCCAAATTCAATTGACATTTATTGGCCAATATATATTTATAAGGCCCGAACGAAAGCCAAAGAGGATCCATAACAGAAAAATAACAAAAATAGGAGGACTCAGCCACTCCACAAAGATAGAAAAAAGATATTTCAATGCCGACAACGACGAGTTCCTCGGGGATGAGTAGCCATCACATGCAAATGGCTGACAAGTGGAGAGCGGGAAAGGCATACGGATCCCAAGGATTGCACAGTGGACGTGGCTGCATCTGCTGGATATCCCTGGTACTCCTACTCATTCTGGTGCCTGGTAAGTAAATTATAAACTAAGAGAGTCCAAATCACAGCTAAGTCAAGTGACACAAAGTCGAAGGACGACAAAAACTTTGATGAGATATTTCAAAAAGTTCGGCAAAGCCTCCAAATATAAATGACAGCAGTCCAGTGACAGTCGAAAGTCCTAGATGAGTCCCGGACTTTGGTGATAATTAATTTTTAAGCCGCGCAAAATGAAGCGAGGACAAGTGGCCGAAAAGTGGGTGGGAAAAAAGTGAGGGGAAATGCGTTGGGTGGATGGGAAAAGCTGGCTAAATGGAGCGGCAAGGACAAAACGGAAGACGAAATCAATCGTTCGTAAAATAAACAAATCTTATTTTTCCGCAAACATTATTTCTCATCAGCCGAAGCGGAGGCTAAAGCACATTCAGCAAATGGCAATAAAAACAACAGAGCAGCGATGACAACAACATTTTTCATAAATACGCGCATTCATCTGCATGAAACGATGGCCAGAAAAGGAAAAACCCAGGAAGCAGTTTAATATCTCGAGGGTGGCTCTTAGTGTTTGCAAAAATAGATATTTCATTCGAACATTTTTTTAAAAAATACCTTCTACGATTAAATAGGTTCCTGCATTTGCCGTACAGATTATTAAAATCAAAATTATAGTAATCAAAGGTTATTAGTTTATATTTTAGAATTATTTGTAATGACCTTAGAGAAAACCATTAATTTGAAAACTTTAAGTGCATGACCCTATCTCCCAAATAAGCCTTGTATGATTTTTGATTGAATCTTAATCGGCTTCCAAATAATAAAGAATGCAGACAAGTTTCCAAGCAACCAATTCCTTGATCCACCCCAGTTTAGTACTCAACGGATTCAACTCATTGAGCTTTTCTTTTCCTCTCAAATGCCACCACCCAACCGCAACAAGACCAAAATGATGATGTTGCAAAAGAAACTACGATACTAAATATCCAACCAAGGCTTCTGAATGCCATTTTTGGTGGCTATATTCATTTCTTTTTTAGTCTGGCCAAAAGGCGCGAGCGGGACAATGTGTAAACAAGCAAAACAAAAAGGCAACTTAAGGCCAACAACGGCGGGAAAGGATATATAAATAAAGATAGATGTATATAAATATGTATGTATAAAGGACGAAAGCAATTGCTGCCTAGAGACGGAGGGCATTTCATAATTTTTTGCGTGATGAAGTCGTATTTGTTGGGATTAAATGAGATTTTCTTGCAATTACCGAATGCGTGGTTAGGGCACAAGTTTTATTTATTTTCCTCTCATTTTCCTCTTTGCCTCTGCAATCACCCAGTACTCTTCGAAATTACGTTTTCTGTTGGTTAGCAGCTAAGCCGAAAAACATTCCCTGGCCCTGGTTATTGATTTGAAACTTTTTCGGTTGCGGAAAAGTTGCCTTTTCAATTTCGCCACAGATCGATCGATACTTTCTAATTTATGCTAAACGCACATACAAAAGGGGCTGTCGAAGGGAAAGTGCTTGCCGTGACCATCCCATTGAGGGCCAAACAATAAACAATGCATCCTGCATCGTATGTGGGGATTAAGTGGAAAACTCATCGACCCCCTCGAGCCCCAAAAGAAAGAAAAAGGAAAACTATTCCATTCAACTTTGGCCTAGCGCATGCGAAAAACATGCAACATGTTGAGAGTCCCTCCTCGCATTCTCCACATCAGAACAAAGGCCAAAATTGGCTATATCCCTCAATATAGGTCTGCCTGGAAAAAGTTTGTGCTCTGCGGGCAGCTTCAATCACAATGGAAGGCAGGAGGAACAACAGCGGTGGACTAGAGATACATTTTCAATTTTCCAAAATGCACAAAAGTCAGTTAGCATTCTTTAACGGCATCATCATCATCATCAGTATAATCATCATGATCATATACCACATATCACACATACGCCCTGGTGTGCCTGAGCTTTATCAGCCTCTCGCTGCCAGAGCTTCTGTTTAGCATCTCAGTTCCACTCGGAGAAATAGTTGCTAAGAAATGCCATCTTTTTATTAATAAAATTATTATTTATATATTTATAAATCTGTGGGGACTATAAGATTTTCGATAAAGACTCCTTGAAAACTAGTTGCTAGAACTAAACTAAAATTAAATATGAAATGCTAAGAGAATTTTCTTTCTGTGCACCCTCACATGCATATCAGCCCGCACCGAAACTCCCTCATACACTCCACTTTGCATATCACATGAACTTGCACTTTGGATTTTTTTTGTCTTTGCTATTTCGGCAAGACAGCAGGTGGATGCAGGTTTTAAGGGTCTAGAATGGAAGGAGATGTAGATGATGAGGGCCACGACGAGATGGAGGGCCAAAGGTTGAGGGGCTCTGGTGCTGAGTCGTCTTTGTCTAGCAGACATTTGCCGTTTACTGTTCTGACATTCCAACTTGGCTGCAATGCAGGCAGGCGACTGACGTGCCTTTTGTCAGCATCCGACAATTGCGTGAAGAGTGCGGTTGATGTCAGCCAGTTTGTCAGCCCGTCGACCAGCAGAAGGTAAAATAAAAATATTTACCTAATCTGATGGCTAAAGCGGTTTACAAAGAATAAAGCGCTTCCTTTCATACTGGTTATTAAACTAACAATATATTTTATTTTAAACTATTGAGAGCGAAAGTCATCCGAAAACAGTTTGCTATGGAAATTCATAACGATTGCGTCGCACATTATATTAGTGGGAATTAAATCAGCTTTTACATCCAAATTGTAAATTAATATGCCAGCTCTGTTTTGTAATCCCATAATGTGTATCAACTTCAAAGTGGCCTACGTACGTCATACCCGAGTTAAGCTGCACTTAAAAGTGTTTCATTAAAAAAATTGTATTTAATTGCACAATTCGAGTGAAAAAATGGCCTCAAAATACAATTTAATACGTAGTATTCACACAAGAGGGTGGGCATTGTCTAAAAGATTATGGAAAATCATCAAAACGATGTGAAAAACTGGCTTAAAATTTCACATATATATGCAGTGTACATAAAGTTGCAACAAATTTGTTGACAAAAACCAGGCAAGCAACAACAACAATGAAGCCTCAACAAGATGGTCAATGTACCCGTAGATTTTTATTCTCTTCCTTTTTTGGGTATGAAATATGAGTCAAGTTTTCAATGCATGCCGGATGCATTCATTATGCCGTTGACGAGAGACTCCCAAAGTGTGTGAGGAAGCGAGAGAGCTAGAGTGTGGGAGTGGAATGGGTGTACATGCAGCGAGAGCGAGAGTGAGAAAGACAAACACACTTGTATGCCATTAAAGAGAGTCTTTGGCTTTTTTTTACATTTATGACAAATGCATTGCACTCACAAAGCTCACACACACACGGGCACTGTCACAATCTTTATGATCTCATGCATATGTATGCGTTTATAAATGCCACGATACTGTCGGCGAAAAGAGAAGCATATATATACAAAAGGAAGCACTATTTTAAACCAAAATGGTGGTCGGCTTGGCCAACAGACACTGGCAAAAAAAGGATTGGTAATTATATTTTTGAAAGTATTTCAGGAGACTACAGTAAGAGAATGAGCTAACTTATTGCCAAATATCTAATTACATTTGTAGAAAAACAAATAAAACATAATGACTCGTTCATACGAATTTCTTATTAACAAATAAGAAATTGCATACAATCAGGCTTTGGCAGTAAGGACTTGGAAAAAAAGAGTGATTGGTAACGAGAGGAATGGAAATTGGAAAGGAAAACGCTTAAAAAAAGGTGTTGAGTATTGGGAATGCCAAGTCACGAGATGCGGCACTTTGGCAGAAAGGCGTTTGCTAATTTTCTAAGACATCAATTCTAGGAGAGCGATGAAAGTACGTGTGACAATGTCTGACCCCCCTTTCGTTTTTGATTTTTTTGCTCTGCCACCCAGCCACGCAGCGTTTTTTGCGCTGATTTTGGCACGCACACATTTTGCATACTGATCAGCAATCAGTGGCAACAATTCTTCGAACTTTCTTCAGGGCTTGAGGCCAACTAGGAAGTGTCGAGCGCAAATTAAAATTCCGCTTTGGCATTTGGGGAATTCAATTATTTTTTGGTGCCCAAGGGCAGGGGAAAAATCACTGCCACCCACTCTGCCAAACCTGCAAGTTGACAGTTTGTCTTGTTGTTTCGGCTCCTTCGTTTTGACCACCAATAACTGGGGAGACAAAGCTGCGGGGCAGTCGGAATATCCGGCAAATAAATACCGAGGCATCGCTTACACATGCCCAGATTTATTGCCTCCCACTCTCACTCTGATGCCAATTGTCAGGCAATGCAATCAGCGTGTTTATTGATTTGGAAAATTAAATATTTTTCCTTGACTTCTAAGTGCGACGCTGGCGCTTGGCGCTTTCGAATGCAAACGAGGAAAAGTCGCGACCCTATGCCATAAATAACACAATCCGATTTGCTTCTCTGTGCTTTGCTTAGTTTATGAAATTTCCGGATGCCCTTAGAAAGCATTTTAATTAGTTTAAATTCCCTAACAAAGAACTACAAGAGATCGGGGAAATTGGGGGAGAAGGAACGAGGTGTGAGTGTGTGTTTTCGAGAGAGTTGGATGTGTGCTAGCATTCACCACATTGTTGTCGCTTCCGTATGGCATTCCGCTAAAAGCAAAAACATGTCGGCGCTCGGCGGAGTAGAGGGCGAAAAAATATTGTTGGAATTTCGCTTGCTTAACGGAAATGTATAAATTGCATTTTGCGCCATCGCAAAAGAGCCTTAATGCGTAAAATGGCGGCAGGAGTTGAGTGTGCTGCTCTGGCTGAAACTAAAGCAGGTGCATCTGGAAGAATGTTGTGCTAAATTTTAACACACGCACTCATACTTGAAAATAAATTGTACACCTGCAGGATACACGAAACGGCGACAAAAGTGTCGCTTGCGTTTTGAGCAGCGGAAGTGATGTAAAAAATTTGATATTTTTGCAAATATAATTTAATTTTTTATAACTTTACTACTTGTTAAATCATTAAAAATGTT